ACAGACGTCTACACCTCCAGATGCAGGAAGAGGGCCACCTGCATCATGAAGGACCCCACTCACCCAGCACACACTTTTTGCCCCGCTCCCCTCAGGAAGGAGGTTGAGGAGCATTAAGTCTAGAACCAATAGACTGAGGAACAGCTTCTACCCTGAGGCTGTTAGACTCATGAATCTCTAACCAGACAAATCACTGTAATGCCACTTTAACTGGAGATTTGACACTTTATCTGTGCTACTGAATATTCATGCTGCTGATTTCTTGCCTTTAAGCTCATACCCATCTGCTCACAACAGACTCATGTTCAGACTGCTGTTTAATACACCCTATTATATCCATCCATCCATTTTCTTTACCCGTTTATTCCATTTTGGGTCACGGGGGTCACTGGTGCCCATGTCCAGCAATCACTGTGCGAGGGGCGGGGTACACCTTGGACGGGTCGCAAGTCCATCACAGGGACACATAGAGACAAACGAGACAAACAACCATTCACTTTCTCATTCACACCTAGGGACAATTTAGAGTTACCAATCAGCCTAACATGCATGTTTTTGGTCTGTGGGAGGAAACCGGAGCACCCGGAGAAAACCCACGCATGCACGGAGAGAACATGCAAACTCCACCCAGAAAGGCCCCTGGACCGAGGTTTGACACCCTATTATATTACAATATTATTTTTTTAGCCTATATCTTAGATCTTTATGTACGGTTTCTTTTTATACTTTTGTTAATTTTGGGTGTAACTGGGATCTTGAGTACACAATTTTGTTCCACCTCATGTACCACATAATTCAAATGACAAAGTCACATTGAACCTTGAAAGTTAATTCTGTTTAATTTAGCTGCATGAACCTTTGAACAAGTATAGGCTAAACAAAGTTCTTTATTTTTGTCTCTTTCACAAAGTAAACAATCTGAACAATAGGACGTTATCATAGGTCTTACAAAATAAGGCATCTAATGGCCCTTTTCCATTAGTAATGGTACAGCACGGTTCGACTCGGCACAATTTCAAGGCTTTTTCTTTGTGTTTTTCTTTGTTTCCTTTTTTCAGGACCCGTTTCTCTGGGCTTCCAACCATACTGCGCTGGCCTTAAAACGTGACGTCAGAACACTGTCGGTCACTGATTGGTCAGTGGGTGGAGTCACTGGAAGTTTGAGAAACTTTCACAATAAC